AGTGCCCAGCTCTGCATCATATTCCTGGCTATACAGTGAACAAAACAGAATCCCAAAATGTCATAATAGTTTCTATATTGTGATACTTATCTCCAAAATAATCAAGCATATTTTAAGTATTTTATTTTTATTTTTTAATCCTTAACCAAGGATATGTTTACTGATTTTAGAGAGAGAAAAAAACATCTATGTGAGAGAGAAACATCAATCAGTTGCCTTCTGTATGCACCCCAACCAGGGTTAGAACCCATAACCTAGGTATATGCCTTGATTAGAAACCAAACATACAACCTTTTGGTATATGGGACAATGCTCCAACCAACTGAGCCACCAGCCAGGGCTTAAGTATTTTATTTAATGGCTAAATAAATAAATAAACTAGGTAGTACCAAATATACAGGAAGTAAATATACCATGACTAAATGTCATAGAAACTCTTCATCATTTAAGCCTTTGTACACATTATGAACATGAACAACTATGATAAGAAATATCATAGTTGGCACTGAAATATTTGCTGTTCACTTAAAGAGTGCTAGTATTTAAAATTGCTATCACTATGCATATGCAGATCACATAAAATGTACTAATTACTTAAGCAGAACTCTTTATCAAGAGTAAGACTTTCATGAGAAAAATGAAAAAACACAATGAATGTCAAAATTACTATATTGCACTATAAATATCAAAAGATACATTTTACTCTTCCTAAAACAAAATTTATGTTTTTCAAACTTAAATAACAGTTTTTGGATCATAAGGAGCTTGCAAATATATTAGCAATATTCTTACTAAAATAGAGCCCAATATATGTACAAAAATCATCTAGGAAAAAATGTTTATCCTTGGTTTTAACATGCATGTATACATAGAAATAAACATACATAGTCACAGGAGTTACATACACCAACAAAAATTTACATTTAGCAAAGATAAAAAACAAAAACAAACAAAAACATCTTGCTAGGCTTTTTTTTTTGTTTTTCTGTCTTTAGGGATTGACAAAGAATGAAGAAAATTACCAAAGTAACAAAAAAGGACACAAAAACCACACTTCAAACAAACTCTTTGTCAGTATTAGAACCTGATTTGACAAAGAGGTTTAATCCACTTCCTCAAAGGTCATGCTATCAAGGTAAAGGATGAGCATCTACGGAGTTAGGCTGGCTGTCATTCTGAGAAGTAGTGTGCTCCTCTACCTCCTCCATGTGGGTCACTTTATCTGACTCTCTTGCAGGAGGAAGTTCATTATTTGTCCCGTCTTCACTAGGTGATAAAATACCAGGCCACTCATTTGACATCAGAACTTGCAATGATTGTGTTCCATCTTCAATATCCACTTGAATCCCCAAAGCATTAAGAACGTCACATTTGCACACGGGGCATGTTCCATGGGCTAGAATCCAGGGGTCAATGCAATTCTTGTGGAAAAAATGTTTACAAGTCAGAATACGAATTGTGTCATCAGGCTTGTAGAGTTCAAAGCAAATTACACAACTATCTCCGTCTGGACTTACTTCCTCATCCCCTTCTTTCAGTACCCGAAGTTGGAGCTGGCTAAATGCTATCTTGAGATCTGTCTCTAACCGCAGCCATCTCCTGCTCTGAATCCTTGCTACCCAAAATCTTCGAATATGATAAAAGATGAAGTATGCTAAAGTAGCAGTTGTGACAATCACAAAAGAGACAAAATAGTGATTCATCCAGATGATGTGTTTTCTCCCCACCTCAACTATGACTGTAACATGAACTCCCTTCCGAATTAAATGCAAAATCTCCATGCCTTTTATGTTACCAATCATCACTACAACAATGTCTTCAAATGTCTGATGAGACACAGGAAAAACCTGATTGCCAGTTCCTGGAAAGTTATAGATGATCACTCCACTGGCTCCCTTCTCAACGGCCACCTTAATTTTCTGTGTGAAGGAACAGCCTCCCCGTTCAATAAGTGCAAGCCACGTCTCTGAGTTCTTTGATCTGCTGAAACTGGTATTGGGATTACAGGCATTTTGTGGTTTTCCATCTGGTGGCACAACAACTCCTGTCACTCTCTTCAAAGTGGAGCTTCTTCCAAACACTCCAGTTTCCCCTAACTCTGACAGCATGCGATTCCCAATATGAAATGATATGTTCATGTATGCGGTCCAAACAGTGCTGGCTTTACAACAGCTCTGACTAAAAAGCCAAAGAACACTGAATTTCACAAGCCAGGAAGATGCAGTGTTGTTTCTCTGAGTGCCAACCTGGAGGAGATTCATCTCTCTCTGCCTAGTAACCAAAGGACCAATTCAGTGAAAAGATGTGGCTTCCACATCTGTTGACAATCAATTTACAATAACAAAATAAAAAAATCTCCTGGGTGAAAACAAGTTCCACTGTCTTCCAGCATGTTTTTGTGAAAAATTCTTAAAGACGTCGCATGAGTTTCAGATGTTTAATTAGAGGCAGAGAGAGAAAAACTTCACATTGGGGAAAAAAATCCTGGTCTCACCATGGCAACTCTAGATATGCTTACTGTTGGGTGATATGATTATGACATAAAAGGCAACACAGCCAATTAGATGACAGCTTAGGGCATCCTGTAGAATGTATTGTCTTGAAAGTTTCAAATGTTGTTATGGGTGATTTATATGCTGTTATAAGAAGGAATCCCTCTCTGAGTGACATATAATGTTAGCAGGCACCACATTAAACTAAAAATTAAATATAAAACTCATACACCTGCATTTTAAAACCCATATGCAAGAAAGCTATATAACTACAATTTTTCTTCAAAAGAAATATTTTCAACAAAATGACGAGTTTTAACAAAATAATTTAAAATTAGCACTGAGACCAAATAGGTAAAAAGGATAAACTATGTAACACCATTTTAACTCACATTTAGTCACAATGCAAATTTTTTATTTATCATATAAACCACTGTACTAAATTTACTTAATAAAAGTTTGCTTAGAAGTTTGCCGGTTTCATTTGGATTTGATTTTTAAAAGTAGTGTATCCTAACCCTAGCCTGTGTGGCTCAGTTGGTTGGGCATCGTCCCACAAACCAAAAGGAGGTGGGTTCAGTTCTCAGTCAGGACACATGCCTGGGTTGCAGGTTGGGTCCCAGGTCGGGGTGCATGCAAGAGGCAACAGGTCAAATGTTTCTCAAATTGGTGTTTCTCACATCGATGATTCTGTCTCTGTTTCTCCCTCCCATCTCCTCTGTCTAAAATCAACACAAAATAAATAAATAAATAAATGTAGAATATCCTGTTAGATTACTTCAGCCTCACTTCCTCACTGTTACATTGATCATACATAGCAACAACAGCAGTAAAGACAAGCACTACTCTCATTTTTCTGTGGACCCTAACATGTTACTAATTGAACAATATTTTGAGAGAAGACGAGGAAGTATATAGGCTATAAAGAGGAAAGGTTAAATATAGCAGTATTAGATTAGTACAACTCATTGTAAACAAAATATAACTACTGATTCTAGAAAGAAAAGCTTCAAGGTCCCCACTTAAAATTAACCACAAAGAGCAGTGACTATTAAATATCATAGATACTTTTTAATAAAATATCTAAAATCAACAAACATCCATGGAGGAAGACCTCACATACACACTGCCAGTTCTGCCTGTATTTTACCTAGACTTATGTCAATGGCGCAGTATGACCTCAGAGCCAAAGAGTGACTTGTGAACTAATAAACATGAGCAGTCCCTGGTGCTGCCATACACTTTCCTGGAGGTATACCTCAGTGGTTCTTATTCACCAGCTAGGAAACCACTGAAGGACTTTGGCCTTGAACTTAAATGTCTCTGACCTCTATGCACACAATGCTAAGAGACACTTTTGATTTGGGTCTCACCAGGACAATGGATGGTAATACTTCTTATGAAATGTGAATCAACAACGTGACGACTTGAGGCAAGAAAGAGGAAGGAGAAAAGGGCTCTATGGACCCAGCAAAAAAGGCATAAAAAAAATACTGACTTGAAACCTTCAGCTAATAATGATCATTTTTATCATAGGTCATTAATCTGACTGTATTTCTATACAATTATTCTTTTAAAAGACAGTATAGTACATAGTGTGTGGACTCACAAAGTACCAAGTTGGACATGAATGGTTTAGTATATTGTCCATAAAGAGAGATTTCATCAAAACAACAGAACCAAAATCATTCAGCCTCTCACAGGTATTTATTCACATATTTAAAAAGCAGAGGCAAAGTAAAGCAAAAGATACAATTTGGAAAGGCAATTGAAAATTTCAGCTCTGCACTGTCAAAGAGAGGCACTCACCACCATTTTGAGAAGCATTTACTAGTTTATTTCTAGAAGGAAAATGTGACAACCATAGCTTATGCACTATGCTAGGATTTCAAGGACTCTGGCAAACAAAGGCAATTTTTTGCAATGCTACCCTTAATGAGACCTATAGTAATTTAAAATATTATTAGTTACATAATAAAAAATGTTATCATCTAAATAATTATTTAGAACTATTACCTACCCATTCAGTAACCTTGGAAACCATATTCCTTGGTTATTAATAAAATTAATTAGTGATGGAGAATTAAGATCTAATCCTATATTAAAGTTTATTGAGCAGAGATATTATTAGATATCAAATATTAAACAAAATATGGTAACAAAGTATAAAATTAGTATGAAAATCCTTAAAATATGACATTCTCTGTGGCATCAATTTCACAAACATTGTAATTTGAAGATAAAAACTAATCTGCTTTTAACATACACTAATGTCCTTATTTGGATTAGAGCAAAAATGTATAAAAATTAAAACTTATTAGAAAAACAAGTTCAAATAGGTTGGTATGATATGGAATTTTATTTTAGAAACATGAATTTCACTCTGTTTAATACTTGGGTAGAGAAGCTGGAGTTAAATTTTCTCTCTACATACAGCGCTAACAGAATTTACCTAATTTTAATCTTTGAAAAGACTTTGTTACATCTTCAGAAAATTCTCTAGGTTTCTTAAGTTTTCAGAATGTCACACTTGCATATGGGGCATGTCCTGCGGGCTAAAATCCAAGGGTCAATGCACATCTTATGGAAAAAATGTTTGCAAGTTAAAATACGCACTACGTCTTGGGGTTTGTATACGTCAAAGCAAACAACACAACTGTGTTCGTTTGGATCTAGTTCCTTATCCCCTTCTTTGAGCACTCGCAGTTCAAGCTGAGCAATTGCTTTCTTCACATATGCCTTTATCTGTCTCCGCCTTCTGGTGGAAGCATTGGGCACTCTAGGTCTCCAGGTACAGTACAAGAAAAGGTAGGCAACTGTAGGAGCCAAGAAGGTAAGCAGAGACATGAGGTAATAGCTCAGCCATGGCATGTGCATTCTCCCCACTTCAATGATGATTGTCACATAAACTCCTTTTTGAATCAAGTGCAAAAGTTCCATGCCTTTCAAGTTGCCTATCATCACTGCAACTGTATTTCCTGTTCCCTGGTGAGACATGGGAAATACTTTGTTGCCCGTACCTGGATAGTTATAGATGATCACACCATTTGCTCCCTTCTCTGCTGCCACGTTGATTTTACGTGTAAAAGTACAGCCTCCCCGTTCAATGAGGGCCAACCAAGAGTCTGCCTGTTCAGGCCTGCTGAAATTGGTCATAGGATTACAAGCATTCTGATTCCATCCTTCAGGAAGTACCACAGCACCAGACACCCTTTCCAGAGGAGAATGATTCCCGAACACTCCATTCTCTCCTAATTCTGATATAATGCGGTTTCCCACCTGAAATGTTATATTCAGGTGAGCTGTCCAAATTGCTTTTCCTTTTGAGTCAGGGATGGTAAGCAGTAGAAAGATGCTAAGCCTCAACAGTCGAGATGAAACAGAACTATGAATTGAAGGAGTAATTGTAAGTAGCCTCATACCTCCACTTGTCTATTCACTGACAAACATGAAAAACAAAACGTCAATTATAAAAGAAAGTAAAGAAGCTAGCTTTGATTGTTAATGGTTGATAATTAAAACATATTAACAGAAAAGCCCTGAATGGATCAAAGGCATCTTGCTCCTTCCAGTATTTTTATTTTAGGTAGATTACCTTTCTAAAAAAGAGTTGTTGTTAGTACAATGTGATTTCAAGAAAATTATGACTTCCTAATGGGTAAATTGTGACATCAGAGGTAGTTAAGCCAATCCAAGAGTTTACATTAGTGCAATGCATACTGAAATCCTATTGGCCAAAAAAGCTACTAAGCAATGACTCATATAACAATTTGAATAAACTCTAAGGTAATAAATAGATACGAATTTTGGTTAAAGTCTTGGGTTACTTTCCTAGTTCAACATAGAATGAAAAGCTGCCCAAGTACCCATCAATAAATGAGTGGATAAAAAAACTATTGTACATTTACACAATGGAATACTATGCAACAGAGAGAAAGAAGGAGCTCCTACCCTTTGTAACAGCATGGACGGAACTGGACAACATTATACTAAGTGAAATAAGCCAGGAAGTGAGGAACAAGTACCATATGATCTCACCTTTAATTGGAACCTAATCAACAAAAGAAAAAAGCAAGCAAAATATAACCAGAGACATTGAAATTAAGAACAATCTGACAGTAAACAGAGGGGAAGTAGGAGGGGATAATGGGTTGAAGGGTTTTCAGGAACTATAAAGGACACATGGATGAAACCAAGGGGTGGGGTGAAAGCAAAGGAGAGAGGTAGTTGGCTGGTGTCGGGGGAAGTGGTGGGAAGTAAATGCAGACAACTGTAACTGAACAACAATAAAATAATTTTTAAAAATAAAAATAAATTAGATTTGAACCACATCGGACTTCCAGCCAAGATGGAAGCATAGGTAGACACATTGTGCCTCCTTGCACAACCAAAATAAGGGCAACAACAAATTTAAAAACAAAAAACAACCAGAATTGACAGAAAATTGAGCTGTATGGAAGTCCGACAACCAAGGAGTTAAAGAAAAAATATTCATCCAGACCAGTAGCAGGGGCAGAGACAGGCAGTCGTATAGAGAGGACTCAAAGCAAGGCAGTGGCTGATAGACAGAGCAGTCCCACATTTGTGTGCAGATAAACTGGGAGGAACAACTGGAGAGGGAGACAGACCACACAACCCACGGTTCCACCACAGGGAAATAAAGCCACAAAGCCTCTGACTGAAAACAGCTGTGGGGATTGAGGCACCAGTGGAAGAAACTCCCAGCTTCACAGGAAAGTTCATTGGAGAGGCCCACAAGTTCCTAGAACTTACACAAGCCCACTCACCCAGGAATCAGCACGAAAAGGGCCCAATTTGATTGTGGGTAGCAGGGGAAGTGGCTGAAAACCAGCAGAGAGAGGAGCAAGCACCATTATTCCTTCTTGGACCCCTCCCCTACACACAGCATCACAACGCAGCGAGATAGGTTGCCCCAACCAAGTGAACACCTAAGGCTCCACCCCTTACTTCGTTAAAAAAAAAAATGGCCCCAATGAAAGAACAGATCAAAGCTCCAGAAAAATTACAACTAAGCAACAAAGAGATAGCCAATCTATCAGATACACAGTTCAAAACACTGGTCATCAGGATGCTCACAGAATTGGTTGACTATGGTTGCAAATTAGATGAAAAAATGAAGTCTATGCTAAGTGACATAAAGGAAAATGTACAGGGAACCAACAGTGATGGGAAGGAAACCATAACTCATATCAATGGTGTGGACCAGAAGGAAGAAAGAACCATTCAACCATAACAGAATGAAGAAACTAGAATTCAAAAAAATGAGGAGAGACTCAGGAACCCCTAGGACAACTTTAAACTTTCCAACATCCAAATCATAGGAGTGCCAGAAGGAGAGCTGGAAGAGCAAGAAATGGAAAACTTATTTGAATCAATAATGAATGAGAACTTCCCTAAACTGGCAAAGGAAACAGACTTCAAGAAAGTCCAGGAAGCTCAGAGAGTCCCAAAGAAGTTGGACCCAAGGAGGAACACACCAAGACACATAATTACATTAGCCAAGAGTAAAGATAAGGAGAGAATCTTACAAGCAGCCAGAGATAAGGGGACAGTAACCTACAAAGGAGTTCCCACAAGACTGTCAGCTGATTTCTCAAAAGAGAACTTGCAGGCAAGAAGGGCCTGGAAAGAAGTATTCCAAGTCATGAAAGGCAAGGACCTACATCCCAGATTGCTCTATCCAGCAAAGCTTTCATTTAGAATGGAAGGACAGATAAAGTGCTTCCCAGATAAGGTCAAGTTAAAGGGGTTCATTATCACCAAGCCCTTATTATATGAAATGTTAAAGGGACTTATCTATGAAAAAGAAGATAAAAGTATGAACAATAAAATGACAACAAACTCAGTTATTAACAACAGAACTTAAAACAAAAACAAACTAAGCAAACAACTAGAACAGAAACAGAATCACAAAAATGGAGATCACATGGAGGGTTATCAGCAGAAGAGTGGGAGGGGGGAAAGAGGGGGAAAAGGTGCAGAGAATAAGTAGCATAACTGGTAGGTAGAAAATAGACAGGGGGAAGTTAAGAAAAGTATAGGAAATGGAGAAGCCAAAGAACTTATATGTGAGACCCATGAACATTAACTAAAAGGGGGAAATGCGGGTGGGAGAAAGTATGCAGGACAGAGGGAAATAAAGGCTGCGGGGGGTGGGGGCGAATGGGAGATCTGTAATAGCATAATCAATGAAATATATTTAAAAATTAATTTAAAAAAAACAAGAAAGAAAAGCTGCCTAACTACATTTACACTCACTTTTTTTTTTTTAATCTGTCTGGGAAAGCAGAAATCATGTATTAGTGTATGTACCTGGCCAGTTGCCAGTTTTCATATATGGTATGCTATCTAAAATACCATTTATGGGACGCAGGAACAAATCATTCCTACTCTATCCCAATATCAAATGCTTACCCAGGCCTAACGACTCAACATGAGGACAATGTAATAAACTTACATTGTTAGCCTGATGTATTGTCATCTTGCAAAGTGAATTCAACTTTATTCACTAAAATAGCTCCTGAGATTATACAATGTACTAGATAAATACTAATGTGGCTCCTATATCAAAGAAGAAAACAGACATACGCCTACTTTATAGAGCACATTATCCAGTAAGAGCAGATTTTAAACTACTACACACACAAATGTATAACTGCAAATTGTTATAAGGGCTCTGAAAGGAAAATGCAGAGTATCAAGAGAAAGAACAGTTGTAATGGGGAATTGAACTCTGGTTAGAGGTCCAGGGCATTGCTCTCTAAGAAAGTGACACTTAGGCTGAGACTTGAAAGATATATCAGAATTGCCTAAGCAAAGAATGAGATAGGAAGATTTCAGGCAAAGGAAACAGCAGTTTCAAAACCCTAACATAGGAAAGAAAATGGCAAGTTAAAGAAAGTGAATAAACATAACTTTGGCAAAGTGAGAGAGGAGAGAGCCAAGGGTGATGATGGAGGAAAGGCAAATAGCAATCAGTGTTCAGGGTCACAAACATTAGTCAGGATTTGGGATTATGTCCTAAGGACAAGAGAAAGACTGAAGGGTTCCAGGCTGGGGAAGTGACATTTAAGTGTCTCAAAATGTTCACCTTTTAATAAGTGTACTTTGACTGCCTTATATGGAAAATGGATTAGAGAAGGAGGAGAATGAAGTGGTGAGATGAGCTTAGGCAGAAGAAAACAGTAGCTCAAACTCATGAAACAGTAGAGGTAGAGACATCAAAATTACAACGATACTACAAAACAACCAGCATTTAGAACAGCCTGAAATCTAGCTGAATGGAAGGACTACAACTAGGGATTTAAAGAAGAAGCCACATGGAGACTAGTAGGAGGGGCGGAGATGCAGAACTGGGTGGTCCCACACCCATGTGTGGTGGTTTAAGATCAGGAGCGATATGTATCTTGGCTGTGGAGGACCCCCTGAGCAGCAAGGGGTCACAGCCCACACCAGATACCCCAGCCCAGGATTCCAGAGCAAGAAAGACAAGTCCCCATAACTTCTGGTTGTAAAAACTAGCAGGGATTGTGCCTGAATGAGATGGAGAGCTTCTAGAGTCCCAAGCAGTTTTTCCTAAGGGGCCACACACAGACTCACTCCCTCTGAGCTCCAGTGCCGTGGCAGCAGCTTGAAAGGAACCAGGAACATGTGGGGAGGAACTGTATTGTTTGGGAGAGAACTGGGGGTGGGGCAGCTTTCTGCAAGACATAAGTGCTACTGATGCCATCCTTCCTTTTCTGCTTCACCTCCTCACCCCACAGAGCTGACAGCAGGGCACCATACCTGAGTCTCTATTAACCTGGCTCACACTGTTTGCCCCACCCTAGTGATTCCCTGAGACCACACCTCACCCAACTTGTGGTCCCATTCAGGCCATTTCCAGAGGCTTTTCTATACAACTGGTCTCTCCTGCCTCATGCTTTGGACTTTCATAAAATCTCTCAAGCAGGCAGTATCTGGTTTCTACGTACCTACCTCCTATCTCTTGCCAAGTGGCCCAGACCTGGCACTAGCAGTAACCTGCTTAGGTTCACAGCTTGGCCTCTCCTGGACACCTCCAAGCCCAGCAAAAGGAGCAGCCATCTGCAGATCACTCTGTAGCTTGTGCCAGATGGCTCCAGGCAGGACATGGATGGTGGCTGACTGCACCTCCCAGGAGACCCCAGAGTCAGTGCACCTGCTGGACAGCTTTAGAGCATGCAGGATTACAACCCCACCATCTCCATAAGCAATACACTTAAGGGGAATACTTGGTGAGCACCAAAGTCCCACTGAAGCAAGTCCTGCTCTATAGGGTTGGCTCCTGCACAATTACTCCTTCACTGCAGTCACAGCTGGCCCTCACAGCCAGCTGGCCTGGGGTCAATCCCTCAAAGTGACACCAATAGCAATCCAGG